TATTCATTACCTTGCTCATGTAACTGTAACCCCTCCTCTGTACAGTATTCTCACAATAAAAAGCTTATTTTAAAAAATAAGATAAATATTAAGTATGATATATGATAAGACAGTGGATCTGATATGTAGATACATCTAAGGAAAATTAAAATGCCACTGGGTATGAAAGATTTTTCTTAAATAATGTTTGGCAAGGACTATATTGTAACTTGAATAATAAGAATAAAAAAATGCTGGCTAACACAAAAGCTTTATATTTTGTAATGCTTTATCTTTGCTTCATCAATATCACCTCAAAGGACTAACCAAAACATTCTATCTAATTTTGTCATTAGAAAAGGAAAAGAATGAAAATTTCCATTTATTTCTTCTTAATGTTTGTGTGTCAGATGCTTAATATATCATCCATTAGAATGAGGTTCATCTGCCAACCCAGATGCCCCTCAGTAGATGAATGGATCAAGAAGATGTGGTATATATACACAATGGAATTCTATGCCTCCATCAGAAAGAATGACATTTCCCCATTTGTTAGGAAATGGAAAGGCTTGGAAAAAATTATATTAAGTGAAGTAAGCCAGGCCCAAAGAAACATAGGTCCCATGGTTTCCCTTATTTGCAATATCTAGTATAGGTATGAGTCAAGCAGAAAAAGTCAGATAATGTGATGTTAGGAAAACGAAACTTCAAATATGTATTTTAATGTTTTTGTTTCTTTCATGCATGTGTTTCTAACGCATTTATAAGATTATTTCTTTGTTGCTTTGTATGTCCCTCCCCCACAGTGTAACCCCCGCTTTCACTATATTTGATGTCAGTATAACATGTGGAGGAGATGGGGACAAACAAGTCGTTTAAGGATTCAGGTGGACCTGTTGCAACAATGAGAAGTACAAAATGTCATGTCAAAACCAGCTTTACAATGTCGGTGGGGGGGGGGGGTATGATTGGGTGGGAGGGAGGGGGGAGGCTGGGAAGGGAGGTGAAGGGTAAACAAAGGAGGAGGCTGCAATGCTTGGTAAGAAATGTATGCATTATCCTGCCCATGTAATTGTAACCCCTCTGTACAGTATGTTCTCAAGTAAAATAAAATAAAATTTTAAAAAAAAAAAGAATGAGGTTCATCTGTTCTTGTATTTATTGGGTTCAGTTTTGAGCCATATGTGAGATCTACTTCAGTTACTTATACCATATAAAATCTTGGTTCTTTCTTCCTCAATTAACACTTTTTTTAAAAAAAAATTAAATTTTTTGATCCTGGGCTTGAACTCTGGACCTGCTGTTCCTGAGCCTCTCTGTGCTCAAATCTAGTGCTCTACCACTTGAGCCACAGTGCCATTTCTGGCTTTTTCTGAGGAGTTTATTGGAGATAAGATTCTCACAGACTTTCCTGACTGGGCTAGTTTCAAACCCTGCACATCAGATCTCAGCCTCCTGAGTAGCTAGGATTACAGGCACTCAGCTTTAATTCACACTTTTTGTAACAACTTTTAATATTATCACCCTTTGTGAAACAGTCTCTATCCCTCCTCCCCATTTTATTATCCTAATGGAACAGCAGTGTCTTCATGTTTGATTTGGTGTATGTGAAAGAAAGGTAAGGTCTTATTTGCAGGCAGTCTTGGCAGTCTGGGTTGAAATTGTTTATTGGTTTGTAGGTGTGTTAATTTTTTAAGACTAAATGTTAGGGACAGTCTAGAATGCAGTGTTCCTTGATGACAACTTTGTTTATGAATATACAGTGAGATTTCCTACAGGTAGTCATCAAGAGAGAGATCTTAGAATGTTAAGGTCTTCCATGTTCTGCAGATAATCCTTGTATTGGTAAAAGAGTCAATTTATGATTGTGGATGAGAAAAGATTAAAATGGCAGCTTCTCAGCAATGGAACTTTCTAGTTCCTAGTGTATAATCTTACTAAGATGCAAAAAAGAAAGTGGCTGGGAGGTACAAGAAAAAAAAATCCCTAAAGAAGCAGGTTTGTCTTATTAGCCTAAATAAATCACAAAATTGTGAAGCAAATCCTGATCGGGAAAATGGTGGTAGGAACTATGTGACAGATGTTTCAAGTCAAACTTGGTTTCATCATCCACCAATTACCAGGGCAAGTCACTGCTGGTGTTGTATAAGCAGAAGATTCCTTATCTATGAAAATAAAATGATACTAGAGTTTACATAGTAGTTAGATAAACTCAAGCAGAATATAGTTTTCCACATATACTAATAAAAGTAACTGCTTCATTTTGTTACTTTTAAACTATGTATGGCATGATGCTGTCTGCATAATAAGACATGGTTTATGGGTTGAACTGCATCGTACCTGTACTATCTCAGAAAGTAGCCTTATTTGAAGACAAGGTCATTACAAAAGTAAGCAAGCTGAACTGGGAAGGTGGCTTAGTGGTAGAGTGCTTGCCTAGCATGCATGAAGCCCTGGGTTTGATTCCTCAGTACCACATAAACAGAAAAAGCTGCAAGGGGTGCTGTGGCTCAAGAGATAGAGTGCTAGTCTTGAGCAAAAGAAACTCAGCAACAGTACCCAGGCCCTGAGTTCAAGCCCCGGGACTAGCAGAAAAAAAAAGTAAGGAAGCAAAAAATGAGGCCAACCATGCTAGGCCAGTATGATGGGTGTATTTCTGAAAGGAAATACAAAGGAACAGGCTATTCAGGAAAGAAAACATGTACCCTAAGTGGGTAGAAAATGAACTTTTCTCTTTTTGATGCCAGTGACTCTGAGGCCAAGGTGACAAGCAAGGGTATGGAGAAGTCTCTCAGGGCTCCACAAAGCTAACTACAGCCTCTACCGTGGACTCAGGCCCTGGAGTTGTCCTGCAGTGTTGGGGTGCACGGAGCATGCGTGAGAGGCCCTCCCCTCGGCACTGCTGTCCGTCGGCGTTGAGGATATTGCAGATTCTCCTTCCGTCTAACTTCTGCTCATTCCCAGGTGGCAGAGGGGGTGTTAAGGGAGTGGGTGGGGGCATCTTGGTGGGCCGACTCCCTGCTGCATAGCCACTAGAAGAGCCCACGCAGCTGCTGCCAACCTTCTGGTCTCTTGGGTGGGAATGGGTGACACAATCGTTACTATTATAACAAAAAGTGGCTCATATTATATGTGTGTGTGTGTGTGTGTGTGTGTGTGTGTATTTATACACACACACACACACATATAGATATATATGAAATGCCTTTAAGATGTCTGGATGGCTGACAGATAATCAACTAGACATGTAAAGGCATTTTCTTCTGTGGTGATTTTTGCTATGAACTGTATTTACAATTCTGAGTGAAACACTGACTGCAATTGTCCTGGCAAAAGAGCCATCCTGAGAGTAGAAATGTGTTCATAGACACCCCCCCCCCACTTCCGTGGGGCCTGAACTCTGGGCCTGGGTTCTGTCCTTCAGCTCTTCAGCTCAAGGCTAGCGCTCTACCACTTGAGCCACAGTGCCCCTTCCGGCTTTTTCTGCTTATGTGGTGTTGAGGAATCGAACCCAGGGCCTCATGCACACGAGGCAAGCGCTCTACCACTGAGCCACCTTGCCCACTCTCCTTCACTCTTACCAGTTCACTTCTGTAGTGTCATGGACTCTGAGGTGGAAAAGCTTTGGAGACGATCTTAAGCAAGCTGTGACTGCAGGGAGGTTCAGTGACTATCTAAAAGCTCCCAAACGACATTTCCGTGCTGCTATCCAAACTATAAGGAAAAGCTCTTCATTAACTGAATTGACTCTTTGCTAGAGAAATGGCCCCAGGGATGACTGAGAACGAACTTAAGGCATGTACTTGTTCATTAAGCTAACATTTTCTTATGTATCAGAATCTTCTCTAAATCTTGGATTTGATATGAGTCCAAAGAATTTAGGTGATGAGGCCCAGGTTAGAACTCTTTGGTCACATTATTCTCGTTTGTTTGAATATGTGCATGTTTTCTCTGTGTGTGCTGTAATAAATGATGTCCAAATTAGAAAAAGATGAGTTCTGTGAGAAATTATTCCATTAACAATAGATACCCAGAACTGGGGAAAATTATTTTATCCGATAACACAGAGCAGCACCCTGGCATCTTCTGCTAGCTAATGAGGAAAACTGTTCATTCATGGGTAGTTTTCAACTTTTCTGTGAGATTGGGCCAATTTACATCATTCCTTATTAGAGACAGCATACTTATATAAAAAACATTATATACTAATTATATGCTATAATTAAATGTAAGTTCTTCGATAGCCTAGCAAAGAGAAAATCAGGTCAATGTAAGGTTCAATATTTCATTGCTATGAAACTGTTCTGCCTAAAACATGTGACAATATTTTCAGCCATATCATTCTCAATATTCACCAAATTGGTATTTAACATTTTTTTTGCATTGCACTAATTCTAGCATATGAATAAAATTTGATTAATCACTTAGTATCATATTAAACAAAAAGGGCTGAGGACCAGATTCAATAAGATCTTCATCATAAATCAGGAGAAAAGAGAAATTAACTCTATTTTTACATTTAAAAACACAGAGTTGTATTCAAAGAGAGGCAGAACAAAATCCCACCTTTCAAACTGAGAGTGGATTTTGGTATCATTTCTTATGAGAACCTCCAAAGCCTTTTGACATAAATAATCACAAACCAATAGACAATTCTGTTGCCTGTAGAAGCAAAATCGATTTCCTTGTGCTGCATGCAACTTGGAATTTAAATTTGAGAATGACAGTAGGGGTGATATGAATGTGGATGCTTTATACTCATAAACTGACAGGTGGAATAGAAATCCCCCTTTGTACAACTACTGAAGGACAATTTTTGAAATGTATGAATAAAAAACATAAAACTGAGTTTCCTTGAAGCATCTTCTTAACTTGGAACTGATTTTGTCAATGCGTGGTGATAACCACCACAGAAGGCAATCCCGCTGGATTAAAGAATCCTTGAGCTCTTGGTGGAGGAATGTAAAGAGCTCGTGGTGCACCGAAGGGAACTCGATTGAACTCGCGGGGAGACAACCTACCCAGGCACTCACGCATCTACCACAGGTGGTGATTTTGAAATCGCCATAGAGATCTTTGATGGCGCCGGTTGTGAAGAAGCCTTCCACCATCAGCAGAATGCCATACACGAAGAAAGCAGCTGCGATGCCGTAGATCACGTATTTAAAGATGTCAATCCTGGGGGAGATGGGGCGAGGGGGAGAAAGGACAATGCTTTATTTTAGGCACTTTTAAATTATTGTACGTTCACAGAAATGGATGATCACGTCCTTAAGGATCGTCAGAAATGCAAGTTGTAGAAACTGTATGTTCCTAATGGAGGTTGGGCTTTCAAACATTCTTGTTCCCATTTCTAACATATGCATGTACATATGCATTTCATTTGGTCACTTTTAATATTTGTAGGCATTGGATTGGAGGTTTTCATGACTATAGGTTTCTTCTTCTCTTCCAACGCATAGACTATAACTCATGCATAATACAATTTTCCTATTGGAAGTATGAAACTCAGTGGGTTTTTTTTATTGTATTTGCCTTTATTCATTGACCACAAGCAATATTTTTCATCAGCAAAGAAACTTTATAACCATTAGCATTCATTACCAATATCTCACACACTGCACAACTATATTATTATTCCCCATTTCTAGTGCCAGTCAATCATACATCTTCATGTGGGAGACAGAATACATGAGGATGATATACAGAAGAGAAGACAGTCTGATGAAGATTAATTAGATTAGAAGGATGTGTCTACAAGCCAAGGGAAGATTGAACCCCCTGTGCCACACAAGGCAAAGATCAGGATCCGCCCTAAGTCTCAGCTGAAGTTCAGCTCTGCTGATAACTCAGTTCCAGGAGCCTGGCTTCACCAACTCAGAGCAAATACAATTTTAAATTAATTCATCAATTTATACTTATTTGCTTATGTATAGATATATTAATGCTAATAACTGAGCCAAATATAAATGTTATCTATAATAACATGGATAACATATCCACAAGCTCATCGCCTCATTTGTTTCGTTTGCCTGGTTTGTGGTAATTTTTTATTATAGTGTCAAGAAAGTGTCACTGTGGTGTGTGTGTGTGTGTGTGTGTGTTTATAACTGTGTGTGTATTTGAATGTGAAGAAAAGCTACTTGAAACCAATCCTGACACTGCTTAATGCATAGTATGCATCTCTCAGTAGGATGAAGTGGTAGTGGATTGATACTAATGCTATGTTGTCAGATATCTCTTCTGATTTAGAAAAACAGCAAATTTTAAAATGCAGGAAAATGGTTGCTACTACTTAATCCTTAAATTCAATTCATTACAAGGTAAGCCATAAGATTTACCCGCTTGTCGATTTGTAAGTACACCTACACTATTAGTAAAACCTTTTCATATTACAAGCCCGAAACCACACTGTTGCACAACACTCTTCCTTTCCCTCATGTATACCTGGCCTAATCACCATTCCACTTTTCATTTCTATGAGGGTCACTATGCTAGATTTCCCATATAAATGCTGTCATTGTGCCTCTGCTGACTGGTTTGTTTTACTCAGCATAAAGTCATTCAGGTTTATTCAAGGTATAACATGTAATGGGGTTTTCATTTTTTGATGCCCAAATAATATTCCGCTGCATCTATAAATCAATGTAATTGTAGCCCACCTATCCATCAACAGGTATTTTGACTGTTTTAACATCTTGCATAATGAAATATGCAGCAATGAACATTACAGTGAGGTATTTCCTCAAATTTTTATTTCCATGTTTTAACATAAATAGCTCAAGTAAGATGGAAGAGATCATCTTGCAACCTTCAATGAAAATGACTTGACTGTTTGTGTGTGTGCTTATTCCTAGGCATTCTATTGTGTTCCATTGGTTTATGCTTGTGTGTGTGTGTGTGTGCGTGTGTGTGTGTGTGTGCATGTGTGTGTGTGTGTGTGTGTGTGCGTGTGTGGTGTGTGTGTTTGGCCAATACCAGTCTGTATTGATTACATAAGCTTTCTTGTTTGGAAATAAAGATGTGTGAGGGAGGTCTCCACTTTATTCTCCTTGTCGATAAATACTATTTTGCTTTTCAGAGATTTTGTAATTTTTTAAATGAATTTTATGACTGAACACTTCTCTACTTCTGTAAAATTGAATTCGGGTTTTCAAAAAAAGTGAATTGATCCGTAAATCCTTTGGATTATATGACATTTTAACTTAGCAACATTAAGTTCATGGACATGATTTTTTTTCCTTAGGATTGCACTTTCTGTAACTTTTTTCAGCACGGTCTTCTGGTTTTCACATGGAAATGTTTTGCCTCTTTAGATGAGTTTGTCTCTAAATTCTAAACATTTTTCATCTTCAGAATGTTATTAAAGATGGGCTTATGTTGGCATGAATTCAATTTTTCTTAATCATTTTAAGCTTGTGAAATCTTGTTTTGTGATCTACTATATTTTATATCTTGGTAAATGTTCCAAGTGCTTTGGGATGGAATATTACTTATTTGTCCTTTATGGTTATTTGGCCTACAATGTGGCCCAATGTATTTTTTCTTTATTGTCAGAATGAAAAATAACAATACTATGGGCAGTTTTCTCAAGTGCCAGAATACTGGATACATGATCCAATCTTTTCCTTCAAGACAGAAGTCATGAAAAGGAACCACCTATTCTTGTAATGAACTCTGCTGGCTTAAGGCTGATGTGGGTTGAGATTGTACTTCTATTTCAATGTAACTATTTTCAGCTTTTTTTGTGAAGCTATACTTTTCCCATCTCTTAGGTGGATTCTGGAAATCTCACGAAGATGTTTTGGTTTGCTGATCATTGTCAAATTATTATTTCCATGTGGGACCTAGGGCAAGGACATACTATTTCACCATCTTGCTGCCATTATTTCTTCCAAATTAATGTTTCATTTGGCTGAAATGAATGTGCACGTTAAGTTTAACAAAGTTTAACTGACATCAGCTGATGTCAGTTGATGTCAGTTGCAACATTCATATGCCTTTTGGTTTTGCCTCTTTGAGATTTAACCCAAACACTTCAAGAATATCTTGCAGTAAGTATTGTTATAAATTGGTCTAGTTATGTATTGATTTCCTAACAAATGATCACAACCTTGGATTAAAATTCTATTTACTTTCTTAAAGATCAGGAAGTTGAAAAGCTGAAACCAGTTTTTACTGCATTAAAATCCAAGTATTGATGAAACAAATGTTGGTTTTATCAATGATATACTGATATGATATGTTAATAACCTTCAGATGATGAACTTAAGTCTCAACCCTAAGATCAGATCAAGAGTAAGTTTTGCCTCTATTTCACTACTTTGGCTTTCCAAAATAATAACATACCCATGACTTCTCAGGTACCTACCTGACCTCCTTTCCAAACTTCTCAGTATTTGTGTATATACCTATTTTACTGATTAAACAGTAGGTCATGATCATTGCACAAATAATGATAAGTAAACAGTATTCAGAGATTGTATTCCAATTGTATTTATAAATATAAATATATTTAATTTCAGAAAGTTATTATATGAAACTTTTCAATCCCCACTTTAGTCACTATATTCTACATACTTTTAACTATTATATTCTCAGTAAGATTTTTGGGAGACACTTTCATTTAAAGATTCATTTTACCAATATGGGCTCCAGTAATGTCTGCAGCCCAAATCGAGCACCCATTAATAAATTGCTTTATATAATGAAAGGGACTCGACAACTTTGATTAACAAAAAATCTTGAGGTGAAAAGTTATAATGGATTATATGTGGGTGAGTCCGAGGTAGTTGCAATGGTTTTTAAAAATGAAAGAGAGGTCATGAAAAGATCATGATCAAGTATAGAGAGACGAAGATGCCACACTGCTGGCTTTGACAATTAGCCAAAGAATGCAAGTGGCTTTTGAAATTTGGGTTAAGTGCAAGTGCATGGATTCTCTTCTATTCAGATGGAACATAGTTCTGCTAATACCTTGATTTCAGCTTATTTCAGTAAACATAGTAAGACCTATTTCAGATTTCTGACTTCCAAATCTGTAAGATAATGTACTTCTTAGTGTTAAAGACATTAAGATGTGGTAATTGGTTGTTTTATGCAGCAATAGGAAGTGAATGCATCAGAATTACAAATGGCATGATGATAAGGATTTAGCCAATCTTTATTTTCAGTCTAGTTTGTTTCCCTATGATAAATTCTTAAGAAAATATTTGAAGTGTCCAGAAAGTGTATACTAAAATAGGTATAATTGCTTTTATATTTTACCTTTTTTAATCATAATATTTTGCTATTGTACCATCAGTCTTTATCAAAATGAAGAATTAATATCATGTAAGCTTTCAATTATTCTCTATTTTAATGTACATTTAAATGTTGTTTAACCCGTCAGTATGTCAAATTTTAATTTTATGGGGGAAATAAAAAAAATATTCCTTTTATGATTTCTTACATTGAGAATATACTTTTTTTGTCAGTCATGGGGCTTGAACTCTGGGCCTGGGTGCTGTCCCTCAGCTCTTCAGCTCAAGGCTAGTGCTCTTCCACTTGAGCTACATCACCACTTCTAGTTTTCTGGTGGTTTTATTGGAGATAAAAGTCTCACAAACTTTCCTGCCCAGGATGGCTTTGAACCATGATCCTCAGATCTCAATCTCCTAAGTAGCTAGGATTACAGGTGTCTGGCTGAGAATATATTCTTTCCCTATAATATGTGAAATTTTAATTTTTATTTGCTTCCAGTTTTGTACATTAATTTATGTTTGTAATGCACATCACTTTGCAAGTGTTTTAGTAAAACTACAAAAAATATAATTTTGTACTTATGAGTACTTTCATCCACTTGAATCACTTTCCCTTCTTTTCTTCCCTCCCATGGGTATTTATTTTTAGCATGCATAATGCCAACGACAGACAGTAGTAATCATTGTAATGTTTGCACCCTCACAATTTGTTAAGCCCAATACATCCCAGAACTTCGTTAAAGTTGAATGACACTGATTCTGTCTGCTTAGTATGATGTGGATGGCGCTTTGTTCTCACATTTTTGTGTGTCCGTGTATGGACTATGAAATTTTCTTGCTTTGTGATGTGGTCTTAAAGACTAGTCCTGCGATTTGCAATGTTCTAACCTAATATTTTGTCCAACAAAAGAGTTTAATGAAAGAGTAACCAGACAA